CGAGCCGGCCGACGTGTGCGCCGCGCTGCGCAAGGGCTTCATCGCCTGCCACCGCGCCATGTGGAAGAAGCTGCGTAAGTTACGCGGCGGACGCTTCCCTCCCCCCTTTCCCCAAAGCCCCCGTCCCCTCGGCCCGGCTCTCCCGGGGCCTCCGCGTCGCGGCCCGCGTGGGACGTCCGGTCCCGGCGGCTCCTCCGCGCTGCGCCGCCCGGCGAGGCCTCCCCCGCCGCTGCTGTCACCGCGGGGAGCGGGGGTTGGAGGTGCGGGATAGGGTCAGTCTAGTCCAATCCCCCCCGTCATGCTTCCCCCTTGCCTCTAGAAGCAAATACAGAGTGACAGACACACACACAAACAAACAAACCTGTAAATTGCAAGAGGAAAAAAAAAAATGGAGCCGAAGAGCAGGACGAAAACGTGGGAAAATCGCTGTACACACTTGAAGATGCCATGGTGCAGTTTCGCCTTGAAGCTTTTGCTAGTTGGACCTCTAAATTAGATTATTATTGTTATTATTGCTGCTCTTTAGAGGATTGCCTGGCATTTTGGTGCTTGGGGCAATTGCGTGGTCTTCCTCCCTCCCCTTTAAGGAAAGCAGGCAGTGTTGTTCAGGGCCCGCGCGCTGCTTGCGTAGCTGTCCCTCGGCTCGCGCCACAGGGCCCCTGTGCTCGCTGAGGGTTCATAGAGGGTTATCGTGTGCTCCTTGCGCTGCGGGAGCATCGGGGGGATGCGGGGTCCCTGCAGAACGGGAGGCTCGACCTGTGTCCTCCAGGTTACACACGCTGGCTGCCCGGGGCTGCGGATTGGTGCCGGGGTCAGGGCAGATGAGGGCAAAGGGAGGAGAGAGGCGATGCTGGTGGCAGGAGTGAGCCAAGACCCTGCAGCACAATTCAGCGTCCAAACGGGGCTCGCTTTGGTGCGGAGTGTGGCTGTTTTCTAGGATACACAGTGTGCTGTGTGCGTGTATAAGAAACCCCCAATAAAGCAATAGTAGGGAGATGAAGACAAGCAGGCAGGGGGGTGGGGGGGAGTGCACCATAAAATTGGATCAAAAATAATAGGAGGGAAGACTGGCCTGGTTGGCCAGGGTAAAAAGCAGGGGTTGTAGTTACAGCACAGTGGGGACTGCAGAAAGTCACTCGCAGAGGGGGGTTATGTTGTTGAAAAGGTTTCCTTTTCCTTTTTTTAAGGAATAACAAAATACAGGAGTTGTGCGAGTGTTGGGCATTTGGAAAAGTCCTAGGAGAAGTTACGGCTGGGGGCACGCTGGGTTTGGGCAGAAAGCAGCAGATTCTAGAGACACCGGGAGTGGTGAGAGGTGCCCAGGCTGTGCCTGGCAGGATGGAGAGGAGGGTACTCGCACACAGGGACAAGGAGCTCAGTTGTGTCTCCTGGCTTTATTAGTGTAACTATGCGTGACTGGAAAATGGGGAGAGGTGAAGTGGCAGGAAATACTATTTTAGTCCTGTGTTTAGTAGGTGTTTAGCAAATAACATTTTGTTGTGGTACCCATTCAAGCTGTTGTCAGAAGCGGTGTAGCTTGGGCTGTGAGTGGTGGCAGGTCTAGCTAAGCTGTATGAAAACTGAATTCTCTTGCACGAAGCATGCGTGACCTCGCTGGTTTTTCCTGCACGTGCCTGTGAGCAATTTAAGGGATAAAGCAGTAATTATATGTGTTTGGATGTCCTCATGCTATGTGATGGATTCCCAATATGAATTTTACTTCTACTAAATAGTTTTCCCCATAATTTTATGCAAACTATCTCTTTAGCTGTGCATTGACAAGACAGTGAGGTGAAAGGAGGGGCTGCATATTTTGGTATCCTGAAATGGTCAGGAGGAGGGTTTGGGGATTTTGTGGGGATGAAAGCTGGAAGCTTTATCTTCTCCAGATGACATCCACCGGAAGCAAGGCTTGTGCTTGCTGCCCTCTTGGTTCTTGGAAGCTTTGGGTCATTCCAGTAGCCATCTCTGGTAATTTTGGGAAGCTTATTGCTGCTTAGCGTAGCAGAAATGTGAATGCAGTGAAATAGCCATCTGTCCATGCCCTTTGCCAAAGGGCTTCCAGAGTGGAAGTGCGTATTTGAAGCCTATTTCCACACTTGGCAGTGGTAAGAGACATGTCGAAAACAAGCATGCTGGGGAGATCCCAGGTTTTGACATGGCTTTATTGACGATGGATTGTTTTATATTCTGTGGTAATGCAGTATTTGTGCAGCCAAGAGCTTGTTTTCAAGTGTTATATTTAGCTTGATACTATTATGTACATCTTTTCCCAGTGCTACTAGTTATGTTTTAGATAAGAGTTGTATACTTCGACTTTAGTTATAACTCTTCTCATTAAAATTAATTGAAGCAATAAAAGTGAAATAACATTTTTAATCTCTACTTTAATAATATATTTTTAATTTTCACTACAAAGTTATAATTTGTAATTATTCTTAGAAATGCTTAAAATTTACGTATCTATTTGTATTTGAAAGTATGTAGATCACTTAAGGCAATGTGAACTTTCAGGCTAATACTTTTATATAGTTTCTGTCTTAAAAACTCATGTAGCTTTTTTTTCTTTTTTTATAAATTTAATGTGATTTTAGAATCTCGCCATATGAAATGAGGTATTTTAGTTTGACTTTGTGTGTGTGCTTAAAGTTAAATATATTCTTGGCATTTTTTTTTTCCAGAATAACTTTGAATTGATTTTGTCAAAAATAAGCGAAAACAGAGCTTCCCTAAATGCATTTTGGGGCAGCCAGGATGCTTCAGATCACAAGCCAACCATCATAAATGAGTTTGTTTTTTAGTCAGCCGCAGCATGTTTTGTTCGGTTGTGAATGTGGCTTCCAGGTGTAGCCCACGCGTTTCAGGGCAGCTGACGCGCCGTTTGGGAGGCAGGGTTTGCTTCAAACCAACTTCCTACCCCTCTCCTAGCCCCTCAACAAAAAATGAGGAGGAATTGAAAGTATCCTATCAGTGCCCCTAGTACTTAGCTTAATAACTACATGAAAATAAATACAGACATAGGGGTACAGTCACAGTAGGAAACTTGGAGTAGCTTTCTTATTTCCAAAGGCTGCCTAGAGATGTTTCTCCCTTGCTGGAGGTGCAGAAGTGGTATGGCATCCACAGACACCTCAAGTGTAACTTCGAAGTATGCGTTTTGTTTTGAGAGCTTTGTTGTAATCACAGGAATTGTTTGGATCTGTTGACTTGGCGTGGTATAAAAAATGAGCAATAATTTGCTCCAAACTTACTGAAATGAAATTTTAAACTTTATTTAGACAGTTATTTTAACTTTAAAAGGATGTTATTACTGTCGGTTGTTTTTTATTGGAGCAGGTACCTCTTTGTTGGCCAGGTAGGGATGAAAACCTGTGTGTATATGAGAACAGCTGGGACAGATGTTTCTGTCAAAGGAAGAGCCTAATGCCCTGTGGTTCCTGTCTGTTAGTTAGTGTATATCCTCAGTTAATGTGTTAGGGGAAGGCGCCTTTGATCATATCAGATCATTTAGACTGTTGGAGTATCTTGCAAAATAAATATATGGCTTTGTAAATTTTTTGTTTAAAATAAAGTTTGGTGTCATATCTTACATCTAAATATAAGAAAAAGAACAAGGGAACTCAAAGAATAGGCTCTAAAGTGGCATTTGATAGATTTTTTGTTGAGTTGTGGCGTTGTTATTGGTAAAGAATTGTGCACAAAAGAAAACTTTCTTGATGAGATGGTCCTGTATATTTTTTGTTCTTGTAACTTTCACTAAAACTGTGCACAAAACTAAAATACAAATAAATAAAGGAGAAAGTGCCGTGCGTCAAGTCATTTTTTTATGAAGCAAAGCATTTCATCCTTGCAGGGCTAGGTGGCAGGTGACAGCAGTTTGCCGGCTGGTGTGACAACTGCGAAACCAGTGGGAATGAACGGAGCAAAGCGGGTGGTGTTCTTCAAGTGGAAGAAAAATGTGTTTTTTGAAAGATGTTCTGTTGCTTGACTTGTGAGACTGATTAAAAAAGGATCCTGACATGTGGAGGAAGAAACCTGAAGTAGTTAAATGATCTTGATTTTAGTACTTGAGCTCAGAAGAAAACACAGGAGTTTTGATGTTTTTGTTAATATCTGGCGAAACAGAATCCCTAAGTAAAGGAATGTGCTGTGCTCCATGTAATACTTATTTCTAAACAAAAGCAAGGTGTAAAACCCCTTGAGGATAGGCATATCTAATTCCTGCTTCAACTGTAGCCTAAAATCTGCGGCTGCTGTATCATTCTTTTCCTCATAAACTGGTGATTTTATTTTCTGTGCTCTTCAATTCCCAAAGACTGATTGGACTCTCTAATATATTTTATTGCTATTGAGGGGTTGTTACACTGACAGAAACTCATTAGTTGCAGCTTGTTTTCTGTTAAGTGCATGGTTGAAGCTCTCATTACCACTTGGCTTCTTCCCTCGTTTGCTTTCTATTTGGAATATGTTAGATTTAATATCCACAGCTAAAATGGTTAGACAAAGTACTTTCAATAAGCTGACTGAATGTTTGTGTTCTTGAAATAATGCTGCTCCTGGGGAGAAAGAAAGGGCATTTCAGTCTGTAGAGCACAAAGCTAGAACCCGGTGCTGAGACAGAGCTGTTTAAATTGTGCTCAATATCCTGGTAGATGACGCTGAGGAAAATGCCACTTTTGTCATCACCTTGTAATTCAGGTTCTTCTTCATGACGTCCTGCATGCCTTCCCCCTTGCCTGGAGCATATCAGTCTTGCTTGGTGACACCAGAATTCATTAAGTTCTCGGTCGTTTTTCAGCTACGACTCGAGGTCCCCCCAGCTGAGGCAGGAGTGGTGCAGGGAGCAGAAGGGTGAGGGTGCCCGTGGTGGCTGCAGCAGGCGACTGAGACCCTGAAGTCTCACATCTGAACATGCTGATGGTTCTTCGTTAGGAAATTGTCCCATTAAATGGAGTTTTGTGGAATGTGGGAAGAAGGTGAACATAGGTGTGTAAAGACAGAGGAAGAAAAGCCAAAGAAAAAGCTCAATACTTGAGTAATGCTTCTCTTCCTGCATAATGTTCTTCTAGTAATACTTGGAAAATTAAAACCCAAGGAGACAAGTTTTGGAATCCTGATGCAGTGCTTTGATACTGTTTTTTTAATATGTTTTAATTTAAATTTTAGCAGAAGGAGTGGTGCTGTGAAGGTGGGGGACCCGAGGACACTGGTTTGCCTGGCCGTACTGCAGCTGCATATACACTTTCCTGTAATGTTAAACCTCTGCAACACACCCTTGATCTCAATCTTTTAAATTATTATTGTTTCTGCAGAACTGAAAACTGTTTTTTTTTTCTCCCCATTACAGCAGAGTGGCCGAAGACCATGACAGGCCTCCCAAGCACATCAGGAACGACTGCCAGCGTGGTCATTATCCGCGGCTCAAAGATGTACGTTGCTCACGTTGGCGACTCCGGAGTGGTGCTGGGAGTCCAGGACGACCCCAAAGATGACTTTGTGAGAGCTGTGGAGGTGACGCAGGACCACAAGCCTGAACTTCCCAAAGAAAGAGAGAGAATTGAAGGCCTTGGCGGCAGGTAACTGTATCTGCTTTTCACTTCAGTTTTGATTTCTAGGTGCCATCTATGTTTTTCCAGTTGAAATAGGCATAAGCTTACTTATTTAGTTGGGCAAGCAGTTTGGTGAATAGCATTTATATTCCTTCTCTGTCTGTACTTTGATATCCTTTGCAGCTTGTTAGGTAGTAAATTGCACTCTTCCAGTGTTATCATGTTCTGCTACTACACTGGTTCTAACAGCTTATGAGATTTTGGTTTCCCAGTGGAGTTCCATATAGTTGAGGTATGGTTACAACTCTAAAAGTTCACTGAAAACTTTGTAAGTGGAAACACTGATCTCATTAAATTCTAGGAGAATTGAAAAGAGCTTTTATTTTGCCTTTCTGTATAAATATCAATATGAGCTGTGGAGTGTCTGGTTCGTCAAGTGATGGAAATACAGCAGTGTCTAAAGAGAAAATTAATCCTGGTTTGGCTTTAGACCCTAGTGTCAGATGGGCTCTGAGCTAATCCATCATTTCTGCATCCAGTTAAAAAAATTCCATCTGCAATATAAAATATATTTCCTCATTCATCCAGAGCTGACACTGGCAGCTGTGGAGGAGGCTCTTCAAAGCTTCTCTTAAAGGAACATGAAGATCTTAGATTAGTAAAATGACATGGGTTTTGCTGCATTTAAGTACACGTTTAAAATGTTAGAATACCGTGTTTCAGCGAGTGTCTTAACATCGGTGCGTTCCTGGGGCTGAGAAGGTGGCAGGTGTTAGGGCATCTCCGAGTGGCGGTTGAGCGGGCTCCCTGGGAGCGAGGAGGAAGGCAGCGCAGCCCTGTGAGATGGCTCCAAAGCTTCGAGACAAACTCGGGGCTTGGGTTTGGCTCAGCTTCACAGGAGCTCTCTGTGCGCTCGGTCTGCAGCGCCACACCAGATGGACGGGCACAGTTTCCTCCTCTCAGCGGTGCAGAGGCAGAGATCGCTGAAGGTTTTCCTGTTGACATCATTCGAACAAGAGCCCTGGCATTAGTGTCTCTAGCAGGTGGAAGCTGATCAGTTTGCTGGGTCTGGGGTGGTAGGTTTACAGAAAGGGCAACTTGCAGTTCTGCTAGGACTAGTACATATGTGGGTTTCCAAATCCTCTGTCTCTGCTGGTGATTGAAAGTCCCTGAAGCTTTGAAGCAGCATCCTCTGGAAATTCATAGCAGTAGGAAAGGTTAAAAAAAAAAATTTCAAAATGGCTATTTCTATTGGTGCTCCTACTTTTCCCAGGCTGGCTGATAAAACTCATGCGGGCTGTGGTGGGGCAAATGGTAGGGGTGAGGGGGAACTGTGCAGCTCAGCTAATTCACGTCTCCTTCTCTGAGAGCAAATTGAGGAGAGTTCATGGGAGAACATAATTGAACCTCTAATTGAAAACAGTATTTTCCTAGTAACAGCCTCTGAGTGTGAGATGAGCTTTGTTTCAGCTCAAGTTAGCTTGGTGCAGTCATTAGTTATACACATGGATGGGATGGATGTGGGAATATGGTGTTGGTGCCGCTGCTGCGCTGTATGCACGAGAGGATGGAGCTGAATATGCCCTTGTTGTTAAGGCCTTTGAAGTCTCGGGAAGTGCGTCTTGAATAGCTTCAGTATGGTGGACCTTGAGGCAGTTCCAGAGCTGCTCAATTTCTAATTACCACTGACCATTCCTTGGATAAAAACTGGCTTTTATGTGCCTGGTTCTGACAGGGAGGATGAAGCCGTGCTAGTTCCTTGCTTCATTAGTCCTTGTTAAATGGCTCAAGCCCTCTCTTTTTTTTTTTCCTTCTGCTTGCGCATTCCATCATAATAGTTGGTTCACTTGCTCTCTGGCTTCTCTTTTGACCCCTCCAGTGCCATCTGTGGGGACATCTTTCAGCAGATAGCAACTATGAACAATCCCCTGTTATTCCAGCCTCATGCGCTGGTGCACCACTAAGGAAATCCCTAGGGAAGGCTGCTTCTCTCTCTTTTGCTTTTGAATCTGTACTGTGCAACTCTTCACTGCCAGAGACCGGCAGATGGAGAACACTGAGGGAGGAACCTGCGTGGTGTTTCTGTCCCTGAGCGAGCTGATGTCGATGGTCCTCATCTAAGGAAAGCAAATTCAGTTTTGCTTTTTTCTTTTGACAGATGAAAAAGATATTCTTACATCTGGTTGTCAGCAGCCAGCCAGAATATCTTACAGCTTTTCATTCCCCTGTAACCACCCCCCAACCCTTCTTTCACTTCTTTTGGCTTAATCTGGACTGAAACTATCCTTTTTAATGGTTCCAGTGTGATCAACAAGTCTGGCGTGAACCGGGTCGTTTGGAAGAGGCCTCGTCTGACCCACAACGGCCCCGTGCGCCGCAGCACCGTCATCGACCAGATCCCGTTCCTGGCAGGGACTGCCAGAAATGTGCTGTTCTCTGTTTTGCCAAAATGTTTAAACTAGAAGGCTTTAGTCACTTGCCTTGATTACCTGACTTTCTAAACATTTGGACCCTTATGAAGTATTTTTAATGCAACAAGGATTATTTTCATTTTTCACATAGGTCTGTAGAAGGTGTAATCGGTGAGTGAAACAGCCCAATAATATGCAGTCTAACAGGGCTTTAAGTATCGGCCTTGCAAGGATGGTGTTCCTGCTTTGATGGCAATGAAAGCTGCACAAAGCAATGTGTGCCTCAGGTCTCTGGCTAAGTGATAAAATTAAGTTTTATTGCATAGTGTATGAATTGCTTTTGTTGTCTTTTCATGGTGGATCTGGTTTCTTTCAAGTCTTATAGCAGAAGTAACAAAAGGATGAATGCCAAGTCTGTGTGTTTTATCCATAACTTGCTTTTGCAAAAGTACTGCTGATAAGAAACTTTTAAGGGACGCTTTTAGAAGACAGAAAGGCATATTACAGTATGTTGTAAATTTTGTTCAGAATGATCTTTTTGGGAAGTACTTGGCAGCTTGATTTTAATCTGCAATGTGTGTTAATTTTCTGGTTAGTTACGTCCCTTAAACTTTAATACAGAAGTCCAACCTTGTGCTATTTTCTCCCTATTCTCTCTTTCTCTGCCCCAGTGAAGAGTTCTTTAACTAGCTATAGCCAGTATAGGTTTGGGCTTGATTTTATGGAAATGTGATACCATATTTTTACCTGTGAGCACTGTCTTGTGACTTAACGTTTCCTTGGCGAGCTAGGCAGTTACGTGATAGTGTTGTCAGTGTTCCTAGATCAGCAGGCAGTGTCATGGGCACAGCCTGTTCCTGGGACTGTGGTCTTCTGCTGATAATTGCATAGTACTGCTGTGTCTTATTTAAAAAATAGTGATATCTGTGTTTCACATGAATTTGTCCAATGTGAAGTGGAACTGTGCAGTGATAACTAACGTTTTAAAAAGGAGCTACACATCAAGGGAGAGGATATGCAGTTGAATGGTGATATCTTCATAAATGCTTCTTAATTTTTATGGATGTTTTTCTCAATACCTCAGAAATCTTTATCTAATGTTTCATATTTTTATGTGAGGTATTTGGTTGTTTTATGGTTGACAGAACTGAACTGAGAGCTTGAGTTAACTCTTTCATTGTCATGTGTTAATAGATGAGTAGAACCTGGCTTCAATCTTGTTCTTTACTCACTTGTCATTTTTATCTGTTCCCCTTTTGTGCAAAAGATTATGTGTTCCTCATAGATTATAAAAAGCGCATGTTGAATTTGGATCTTGTTAATTGTTAATTCGTGTAATTTTGAGTTCATCTAATAGCACGATGACTTGGTGTGATTCCTCTCAGCAAGTTAAACAAAAGAATTTGGCTGGGTTTGGTGTGCAGGTGGCAGTTCAAGGAAGCGTGCATGCCTTGGTTAGCCCCCCATTGCATTCTTTCCACCTACATGGCTGAAGAGGGATTATAGAGAAAGCATGTCCAAGCAATGACAACACCTAACTTTTCAGCTATTCTTGGATTCTAAAGTTAGTGTAATAGGGATCTTAAAAGAGGTTATTGGCATCATCAAATCATGTAGTAGATTTACAATGTTTACAGTGTGATTGTTCTGGTGTTTGCCTGACCAAGGAGCCTCCATAGTCTCTTCACATGGCCCTCTGATGGGGTGTGATGAACCTCCTGGAAAGGGAGCTCAGCTGCCTCTCTCCGTTGGACCCAGATGGTGCACAGACGCTCACAGTTTGGAGACAGGATTTCAGCTTTTCCTGAGGCCAGCGTGTCCCATGCGCTTCTTGCAAAAGCCCTACCACAACTCAAACCATTTGCATTGGTGCTACTGAGGCCTGCTCAGCCTCTTGGCTGGCTCCCAGGTTGCTACCCTGGTTGGCACCTCCTGGCTGCGCTGGAGCCTCTCCAAGCAGAGGAGGAGCTGTCAAGTTGGCATGCACTGGTTACTGGTGTTGTAGGGCATCCCTCTAAGGTCTAGCCCAGCCAGTTCTTTTGCTGTGTTGTTACTCTTACTCTTTTTTTCTCTTACAGTGCTTTATGGTATGTTGATATGTTCTTATCAGTTATCATCTGTGCTAACTTACTACTCCCTTCCGGACACCACAGTGAGAGAATGATTCTGGTTGGCCTGTTCATGCTCTCTAGTTCAGTGATCCCCCCAGCTCTCAACTCTAGCCCTCGCTGCAAGGAGTGTGGCAGACATGTTGAACTGCAATTTGCTTGTCAGTTGTACAGTGCCCATGTGCATCATTGCATGGTGTATTAATTACTGCCTCCCTGCCATGGATTTACAAAGTGGATTTTCCAGGAGGGTGCCAGATGCATGTTTTAGGAAAACAACTCAGTGAGGAATAGCTTGCTCTGTGTGTATAACTCACTAGGCAGGTAAACCCTGCAGATAGGTTATGTTGCAACTGTGCGTTGATCAAAATACATTGACTTAGGCCTTCAGCCTCTGAGTCCAAGTGCAGTAAGATATCAACAAGATTGTGCCTGTACAAGAAGGCATCTCTCCGGTTCCCCAGTACAGAACTCATCATGGAAAAGTGAAGCAGAGTGTGTGGAAAACCATTTTGAAGTGAAATCTGGCCTAACGTGCGAGCAACTTGAAAAGACAGTATAAGTAGTGGGAGAAGTGTGGAAAAACCACAGTGCGTGCACTACGGCTATAGCTTGAAGCAAGAACTGAATGTAGAAATTAATAGAAAGGCAAATGCTGCAATTTATCGACTGAGCTTTGTAGGTTGGCTATAAGTGTAACTTTAATTCTTTACAAGTTTCTTAAGTTGCTATTTAAGTTCATATCCAGCTGTCTCCGACCTGATCAAGTTGACTGTTAACATATGGCGTGATGGCAGAAATGGATCTTGACTGTTTTATAAATCATGTGGGAAGTCTCTTGTTGGTAAATTAGTTCAGGTCTAAATCTGGTAAATCTTCTATAGACTTTTTTCTCCCCCTTCCTTTTCCTGGCGACTAGTATAGAGCCAAGATCTGCAGCTGTCAGTGGAGTTATGCAGTTGGGGAATGCCTTGCGCTGTTGTAGCTAAATCTTTTTTTAATTCATGAGCGATGAAACCTGAACCAAGAACCCATTAGTTAAACACTCATTCATGTGGCAACATGAAGTATCTTTTCTGGTTTTTGTGTATATGCATGACAGACCCACCCGGGTATTTTTACTGGAGTGTCCTCCCAATATAGGCTTGTCTTTTCATGAGAACGTAACTCTTTCTAGGGGTCAGCAGAAAATTTATGTACCAGAACAGTGAATGCTCAATGTATAGCTGCTACAAGAATGTTGGCTCTGACAGTGATGTAGAAGCTGTTTTCCAGAGCAACCTACTGGATGCCAGAATTGTTTTGTGAAGCTCTCTGAATGTGCATACCATGAATCCCCAGGGAGGAGGGTATGGCTGACCTCAAATGATCTGAGTAGATTCTTGTATAAGGGTTTAGGCTTTATATGCTTTTAGCTGTTGTGGGGGTGGCAGTTGCAGTCTAGAATGCGCACAACTGCGAGACAGTGTTTGCTGTGTAGATTTGTGTCCCATTTGTCTGTAGAACCCACCCCGAGGAACACTCGTATCCCGTTGCAAAAGTGGTACGTGATATTTGTATGTTACACAGTACTTTTTGTAGTTTTCGATTTCACTTATGAAAGCTTTATATACAGTTATAAAGTGTATACATAAAAATATGTATACAGATATACATAATAGGTATTTTAAATATATTTATATGTACACGTTAATATGTTAGATCTTATGTTTCTTCACAGCAGAAAAACTTGAAGCTCATTTGGGATTCTACTCTTGTCCAAGGGATGTCTAACTGTTGCTTGTAGGATTTCTTCCAACCTCTCCCCAACAGAACACACGTGGGTGCTGGTATAAAAGGGAGTGTACTCTCTCTTTCTTGTGCAGATCTGTGTTGCCCAGCCTATGCGAAGGCACATGTGGATCCAGTTAGCACAAAGGAGAATGTCTGGGGCTTTCCTCTCTCCCTTTGGGCTGACTGGAGCTCTCTCTGCATGACTCTTTAGCACTGTTCTTTCACAGCGTGTAAAAGGAATAATAAATATTTCTCCTCAAGGTAGAGTTGTCTCCAGGTCTGCCCAGTGCATTTTTCTGTTTTACTCTGTGCCTTCAGCTCCACAAATACTCTCTAGGCTTGAATGTCTTTCAAAGCTTGAAATTCCACCTAAGTGTTTATTCTAAGGATTTTATTTGAGGCCAGTAATTGGGGGGTAGCTTTCTGCATGCCATTTTAACTTCTCACTGTCCACTGCCTCTACTTTTACAACCTGGTTCTTGCAGTCTTTTCTCTTAATGCATTTCCCCCAGCACCTTCTGGATCGTCCACAGCACCAGGGATGTGGAGGAAGGGGAGATGCAGAGTACTGGACTCAGGCCCCTTCCCTGTCCCTTGTCTGGGACTGCGCTAACACGTAGGATGAGCCGTGCACCCCTTGATTCACTGCTGCAGCATTGCGTGCACCATTTAATCACTGTTGTTTTACATGCAGTTTATTTCTCTTATCTTTGAAATATTATCCTCTTGCCTTTGCTCTGCCTTTCTAGACAGGCTTGAGAGTGCCACTATTTCCAATGAGTATATAAAGATGCTCCCAAAACAGTATTCCTAAAGGAATGGTAAAAGAGTTAATGCCTCAAGTGCCTCTGTGTAACCGCTCTGCTTGCTGCTCCCTTTGCTCTTACCTGCTCAGAGCTTTTCTTAGTGCTAGCTTGGATGATCATGACATTGTGCTGTCCTCCTCTCTAAAGGCTGCTGTAAAGATGCCCTCTTGTGGCTATAGCCCTGGGTTGCTGTGCGTTTGGCTGCAGCGGTTGCTGTCTGGATCCTTGCTGAGATTTGCCTCGCTTTGCAGCACCGCTGCCCCTTTGAGAGTGGGAAGAGGAAGTTCTGAAAGTCTTTTCTTTGTTCTAGCAGGCTCTTTAAATAAAACTTTGATTTTAAAAAGATCTGGGATTAATCAAACTGTTTTTTTGTCTTGGACTGGAACTTGTAAAAGCACTTTCTTCTGTTAAAACCAAAGGATATTTTTGTAGTCAAAACAGCATGTTCCACAACCTTAAATGAAAGACTTGATTTATATAACTTTTGCTGTAAGACACACTATAAGAAGGCTTTAGACTCAATCTAATCCAATCTATTTACAAGATAAGTGATTTTGTTTGTAAATTCATTTTCTCTCCTGGCAGCAGCTAACTTACCGGTGGCTGGGTTTTTTTTTGTTCCTTTCTCTCCTCCTTCCTTCCACCCACTGTATCTTAAAATGTCATAGTAAGCCTGTTTTTATAGGGGGATCATTTAGTTCCCTGCTGTTTTACTCTATATTTTCAAACATCTATCTTTCATTTTTCAAAATGTGATTTAGTTCCTGTGTATTTCTGTGTATTTGTAATTTAGTCTGACTGTAGTCATGTAGAAGCAGATATGTTTTTTCTTGGAAAGATATGGAAGGAACTATATTTGTGTGTGGTGTTGTTTTTTATATATATATATATATATGATATATATATATATCATATATATATAAATATGGAAAAGGTATATGCAAGCCTCACATCAAAATAAGTATTTCTGCTCTGTAAGCTTTTAGAGAGCAAGATTTTTAAAGTTTTGCAGTGTTTGTTTTCCAATTCAGAACAGAAATAGTTTGGCTTATGAAGTCTGAGAACCTGGAGTTCCAGCTCTGTAACACTAGCCCTTGACTCATCCCATCGTTTTGCAGTCTTGGGTTTCCAGCCTGCTAAAGGGTCACTTATCAGTGTACTTGCCTTGGGACAACATAAAGATTTTAGAGCATTTTGAGATGTCTAGGGAGAAGTGTGCTCCACTCTGATCTACTTCCCTTTCCTTTTTTTTATTCCCAGGATTGGAATTGAGAGTTGCCATGTAAAGTTTTCCAGGTTTGCTGCTGCTTTCCAGCTGCTGTGGATGCTCTACTCCCCAGCTGGGCAGTGAAAGATATATATATATTTATATATATATATACATATATATATATTTGTATCTGATAGTAGTATTCTGTCTGGGTACCAGCTCTAAAAAGCAGTGGCTTAGTCTCTAGCACTCTGCCCTTTCAAAAAAGAAACCAAAAAGCCTGTGGTGCTTCACCCCTGTGACATGGATTGCCCTTCGCTAGCGCGGGGTTGAGGGAGCTGAGGATTATTCTTTAAGAGAAGTATTCTTTCTGGCAGCGCTGCTCCACCGAGGATGGCTTACCTGCCTGATAAGTTTATGAGCTTGTGGATCAAATGGTAGGTTTGTGGGGAGAGGGCTGATGACAGGTCAGCTCTGAAGACAATTTTCGCCCTCGCCTTCATTCCTGCCTGTCTTAATCAGGAATACTGGTGGTTCCTTCCTGGGCTGAGGAAGGAAGACGCAGGGTTTCTCTGTGTGCCTCAGACTGACGTATACTTGTTATTTTCTTTTTTTCTTGGAGCGCAGAACAAAATTATTGGGTTTTTTTTTTTTCCCTTTCCAGTTTGCAGTATCCAGAGCTCCATTTTCATGGAGTTTATTGGGACTTGCCTGGAGCTGGTCAGTAAATACCTGCTTGTTGTTTCATGCTGGTGTGTTGTCCAGCTTTGTATGCAGGATCCTGGGTATTCCCTAGAGATTTTTGAGCTTCAGTAGATGGTGGGTACTACTGAATTTAAAATTAATGGAAATTGAGTTGTTCTCACTGTACATTTACAGCAGACTTGGAAGTCTATTTCACAAAGATAGTGCCACAGGAAATGCTTTAAAAGACTCTGTTTTGCCAAAAATGAACAAACAACAAAAAAAAAATGCTTAGTTTAATAAGCTTAGAAGCTGTGAATACTTGAACTGATCTAGCTAATGCTCTCCATTTGCTTTCAGGAAAATTACTTTCCACTTGGGATCTCTACAAGACTCTTTTTTTTTAATCTCTTCTTGTTAGGATGACAGTACTAGATAGATATGACTTAGTTATTGTGAGTTTATTGTATTATAAATGTTTTTGGCCAGAGGTAGGGACTGTTATGTAGTCTGGCAGCATCTCTGGTGAGGATGACAAATGGTTCACTATGAACTCCTGTCTCAAGCCCCCAGCTTGGTGCATAGTTACACCACAGCCTCCGAAAGGGCAGCGCTTTTGGGAAACGCTGTTGTTGTTGTTGGAAGGCTCTGGGTGGGAACTCGGATAGGGAGGCTTCTTGCTGGGGAGGATTTGTGACCATGTTGCGTGTGATGGGGGTTCCTTGCGTGACTCCCCAGAATCTCTGCACCCTTCAGCAGGTTTCCTTGTCCTTGGGGGTCCTCTAAGCTCCATGGAGAGAGGTGATATTCCCAAATATCCACCTCAAAAGGAGGCTCCCACCTCCCTCTGGAGTCTTGGAGGAAGACTGTTGGAAATCAGTGTCTTCATTACTCAGCTGTTCTCTCAGGAAAAGCAGCAGATGGGCATGATGACATGTATGAAGATGGGCCAAAATTAAATAACATTGGGTTATTTTTATCTTGTCAAGAACAGTATTTTTTAATAAAGCAATCATTATCTAAAAACATTTGTGACTTCTATTAAGCACGCACGAACAAAATAGCAAATAGAAGCCTAAAAATACTACTTGCATGCTTGAAATTGGTGCTGGCACCGATTCTGGTTGTCCTCAGATCCAAGCCCGCATTTATTCTACCTGCTGTGTCCTTGACAGACATGCTAGGAAGAAATCAGCGTATGAAGACTTTGGGTGGCAATTAATATACAATAATTGCTGTGCTGAAGCTCAGCTCTTGCATTAGAGTATTTATTTTGCCCTGGTTGCCAGCTGGCTGGCTTTGTTGAGAGCCTGTGGGTGCAGAGTGCACCTCCGTACAAGCAGGCTTGGCTTTTAATGAGCCCTGCCAGAACCTTGTGTTTTTGTCTGCTGCTGCTGTGCAGGCGAATGGGGGCTTGAAGGAGCGCGGCCCCTCTGCGCAGGCAGCGCTCAAGTAGGGTGATTGATTTGAAGTATTCCCTTTCCTCAGCCTGGAAAGGTCTTTTCAACTGACTGATAGCTTAAGGCAAAGCTAATGGAAGAAGGCAGGAAGACAAAAAGCTTATTTATTCTCTTTAGAAGTGTGGTGGGGAAGGGGGAGGCTATGGGCAGGCTTTCTGAGGCCAGCAAAAAGCAAGCACACAAAACTGACAAAACCTGACTCTTAACCTGGAGGAGCTCTGCAGTTTCTCTGTGCTTTGCTACTCTGACGCTCTAATTAATTTCTACCTTTAGAGCCATGTGTTCCACCCAGAAAGCCAGCCAGTGCTTGCAGATAATACTGTGACTTTTGTTATTTATTGCTACTGCAAGTTATTTATAAACATCAAGTAGGGAGTAGCCTCTTGTTTTGTACAATATAGTATGTTATTAAAAAAAAAAAAAAAAAACAGATAACATCCGAAAATCTGGAGCGTGTGGAATGAGTTTTGCAAAAGGAATAGAAGGTGTTAGCACAACTTAATACTCCTCTTGATTTCACAGCCAAACCATAGAAGAGTTTTAATAGCATACCTGATAAGAGAAATTAAAATAAATGATTATGGAAAGTGGTTTTTTTGTTGTTTTTTTTTTCCTGCATGGAACTTCAGGGTAATTTGGAAGAAGCAGTTGAACCAGATGTTGTTTTGATTCCAAAGCGACTTGACTTGCTCAGGTTCCGATCGGGGAGGTGACCCCAGGCCCCTCCGCGCAGGAAGGAAGGGGTCCTTGTGCCAGCCCCTCGGGGAAAGGCTTGAGCTCTCCCTCGCGGCTCCGCTGCCGGAGCCCGGGCACAGGCTTGTGCTCCTTGTGCTCCTGTGGCTTCTTTCCAGTTCCAAAACCTGGCGTTGGGCTGGAGACATGCTGGAGCACCGTGCAGCAGAGTAAGAACTTTCCTGGGAACAGTTTTCTGTTGTTTTCAGGAATCGTACCCGGGTGTAACGTAACAATTCTTACACATTTGCTTCCTCTCCAGGTGACCTGTGGAGCTACGATTTTTACAGTGGTGAATTTGTGGTGTCCCCTGAGCCTGACACTAGCGTGCACACGATTGATCCCCAGAAGCACAAGTACATTATCCTGGGCAGTGACGGGCTGTGGAACATGATCCCACCTCAAGATGCTATATCCATGTGCCAGGATCACGAGGAGAAAAAGTACTTCATGGTGAGAGCAGTGGACGTTGGTCATTCTGACAATTTAACACCTTTTTCCTGTAAAAATTGTTCAGTCTGGCATGTATGAAATGTACCTAGTAATGGAATCGTTTTATTCAATAGCTCTTACAGGTGGCTGGTGGTATTATGATGCAAAGTATTGTCAAGTATAATGCCTATTAACCTTCTTTGTGAAATGCAGATATTAGCAGTACATTTTCCTTCATTAGGATGCAATCATATAATGATTTTTATGTGACATGATAAAATTTGAATTTAGTTATTCTTCCTTATGGACAAAAGAGTGGAGTTTGCACAATGGAGAGTTAGTTACAAAAAAAGTTTATAAATTCCTTTTAAGAGTTTTGAAAAGAATGTAGGGCATATGACGACCAGCTAAATTAAATAATTTGCATCACTTAGAGCTGTATTTCACCAAAAAGATTTATTTCAATGAATATTTTCTTTCATGGTTCTGAACGAAGTTGCTTTAATACGTGATGTAGGAGTAGATAATCTCAGGCTGTGCCATATAAACTCTTAATTTTACATTTGTAAAATCAAGTGGACCTGATCTCTTTCTCTAACGCAGGGAGAGCACCGACAGTCTTGTGCCAAAATGCTGGTGAACAGGGCGCTGGGCCGGTGGCGGCAGCGCATGCTCCGTGCGGATAACACTAGTGCCATCGTCATCTGCATCTCGCCGTTGCAGGACAGCAAGAGCAACCTGGAGAACGAAGAGGAATTGTACCTCAATCTGTCAGAGAGCCCCTGCTACAGCAGTCCTGATACGAGCATGGCGACAGCCTCCCGCTGCTCTACCCCGCCTGCCAAGGTAACTTTTGGGGTTGTTTTTGTAGTCCCATTTTAAGTCTGGAGCCATTGGGTACTTATCAATCTCCTCTTCCTTCTTCTTGGAGTGATTTCCTTTTATGTGGTAAGTCTGATGTAGGATTCTGGCAATGCTGTAGCTGGACCACTGCAAGTGATTTAATACCTCTAGAAACTACTGGCCTACTTACTAATTTTTTACTGTAGTGGACTAGGCATTATCTATGGCTAGATAATAATTCAGTTACAGGACAGTAACTTGGCTGCAACTATGTGGCTGTATCTGCAGTAGTTTAACACTGTGCACAGAGCTTTGGAAAAAATAGATGAGCTTTTAACAACTTCTTTTAAAGGCTTTGGAACATCAAGGCAGAGATTCTCAGATCTGCCAGATTTTGGGATACAGTGCTTTTATAACTCTTGGAATCCTGATCACTTAATAGTACCTGTTCATCTGTATTCCCACCTCCACGTAAAGAAAAAAAAACCCTACTGTAACTTCTTGCACATAATTCATACCACTTCAAATACAGCTTCCTGAAAATAAAATTTCTGAGATCCTGCAAAATCAGAAATAGGCTATCAAAAGAGAAAACTGAATTTGAGGATTAGAATAAAAAAAGTTCTTTTTTATTGATCTTCCCTTACCACATCCTTGTACGAGTGTCTCAGGGGACTGCAGGCTGCGTGAGGAGGCTGCCCCGCACAGCTAACCCATGGGTTAATGGGTGCTGTTACTGAAGAGAATGTTCTCTGTTCAGATTGGAAGGAATTATTACCTTCCTGTGGTCAGTGTAATGCTTGTTGCTAGAGGATAAGATATACTCCAAAATGTTTCTTCAGGTTAGAAGTTTTATCCATTAACATAAAGCAGAGCCATTTAGATTTTTTTTTTCTCTAAAAATAGGAGTGTAGTTATGAGTGAATGTTTGTTTAAGCAATTACCAGCTGTGACTGATTTAAGTCCTTTGATATTCTCCAGTACCTCTGGATAACTGTCTTTCAGATAAAGTAAAAAGAAAACAAAAAATAGAAAAAAAAAAAAACCTCTGGTGCAGCAAAGTGCATGAAAGGAGTTTGAAGAAGAGGAAAACCTGAGTGGAGAAAATTGGTTTGAGTTCTGAATACTCCTAAACTTTTAGGTTGTACCTTGTTTTGTGTGTGATCTATTATCAATGCTCACCGAGTAAACTGAGCTATGTTGGTTGAAAATGAAGTAGCATTTCAAAATCAGGACTTTCTGAAAATATTTTTCCCCTAAAACTTTGCCTTGCCATATGAACAAATTCAGTGCCCTGTGATGTGTGAATGTCTACCAATTGCAGCATGCAGAAACACATAGTAGAAAAAGCCAAACTGTACAAAGTGTTGTTGTGTTCCATATAGACAGGCTATAGTTATTTTATGTTCAAGTGTGAAAACCTAAGGAAAATTTTGGCTGGCTACGAATATGAATTGATATTAGATGTATAAATAAGTTATGTCTATTTAATGCAATATTTCCTCCCTCTTTGATTACAAGTAGAGATGCCAGTTCTAAAAATACTGATTAGATCCTATTTCTTGTCTACTTTTTTAATTAAAAGTATGCATAATATAATACAGGCTTCTGCTTTTAGTAACAAGTATCCATCTGTCCTCACAGAATACCTCTAAGTATGGGAGGAAAAGAAAAAGGTCAAGAAGAAATTGGAAACACACAGAGAGAAAAAAAAGTCACTTTGCTGTCAGGATAATCTTGAAACGTTCCAGGAAAAAAAAAATATCTCTAGGCAGATGAGAATAAAGGAAGTACCTCTGCAGTGGTGTCTCCACGTGTGTGTTTGTGCCAAAGCCCCACTGTGTGCTGTTAACTATAGTCACTCCTCTATGCTATCCTGAGTAACACTGGCTTTTTCACAGCAGGAAAACCATTACCAGTTAAATGAAAAAACGAATCAGAAGGAAAAACCTGTTTCCATATTTCAGCTTATGTCTGGATTTAGGATTTTCATTTATATAGCAAACTGATTTAATGTGGACCTTCTGGGTAAAATCCAGTGCATGCAGGACTCCTCCCCGCCCCCGCCAAAAAAAATGGTCCTGTGAGCAACTTCTCGTGCTTTGCTTCAGTCATTAAATGGGAGCCTTATTACAGGACAGCAGCTTCGTTTTGAAGGTCTGACTTAAACTCTTCATTTAACTGAGGCTATTTTCCTTAGTGGGATAAACAGCCTTACTCAGAAATGAGCGGGGGTTCCTTCCCCCAAGGCAGTGAAGCCTCCACCTGTGTAAGGTTTGTGACATGCAGCCTGTGAGTAGCAGAGATGAGAAGTGCTGCCTTTAGAGGATTCACAGTGCATTGTACTTTTTCAATTCTATTAAACAATGCATCATTATGTATTTCCCTTCATATACCATATATTCACATATACTTTAATATATTCATACACACATTCACATATAATACTTCACCATTAGGCACTTCCCAAGTCTGTCCATGATGTGTAATATTGAATGTATCTGCTTCACTGAGAGGTTTTTATAGATTCAATGTTGTAGAGCTTATGAGTTTCATAAAAAGCATTTAGTATTTGTGTTTATGGAAATTGCTTTTTGCTAACATCTGTCCTTGCTACAGTTAGTAAACAAGGTCATGGTATATAAAAACCACAGGGAAATTATATGGTCTAAATTAGGTAGGTAATTAATCTTCTTACCAAATGGCAGTTAAATTTTACCAAAATGAATCATCACATTTCTTTCTGCAAAGACATGAGACATGGTTCCCGAGATCAGTCCATACTCCTGGAGATTGTCATGGCATGATTATAGCGCAGAGAGGACAGGTCAGGGAAAAAAACATTGAAATTCTTCAGGTAAACGAAAGTATGTGTTCACTGTTACCAGCAAGATCTGAAATTATTTAGGTATTCCTGAGGTCAGTGATGGTATTTGACTGATTTAGACTGCTCAGAGAGGAGGCTGATGACTTGTGTAATTTTGTTACCCCTGCAGTCTGTTCTCTGGCTTCACCATTTGGCATCCCAAAGCCAGTCTCAGTTGTTCATACCACGCAAAAGATTTTTGGCAATAAAAAAGCACAGCATCAAGGGTCTTGCACAATATGAAACACGGGGCTTAAGTGTCTGCTTGAGATACTATTTCAAAAATGCAATTGAACAGATTAACGTCAGAGAGCAGCTCTCGCTGTGTAATACAGCTTTCCTGTTGCCTGTGCCAGAGCAGAGCTGAGGAACAACCCTAAGATGCCCCATGCAGAGGTCCTCCCTGGCGTGTAGCTAGCCAGAGTCACATTTATTGTGCAGGTGGTTTTATGTAACCATGGGGAGCAACGGGGTAGAGTTGAGGGGCAGAAGAACTAAACTGAGAAGCTAGAAGGCAGTTATTCTGATGCTCTTCTTTCAGAGTGTATTTTATTAAGCCTTAGTGTTGAATTTTTCAAGCGTGTGGAGCATTCACAGACCTCTTTTCTTGAAGGTGAACTGTAATTGCTCTGGGTTGGGATTTCAGAAGCATTTAGGTCTTGGTCTCGGATGCCGCGTTGACGCGGTCGGTTTCAGCCGCACACGCGTGAGCTCTCAGCACCTTCGTTTCTCGAGTAAAGCAGTCGGTGTCTTGCTTTCCAATATATAATGTGGCCTTGAAATTTACTGTTGAAGGTCTCGATGAATAACTAGGGATTTCTTCACAATTAAATCTTTAATAAGGTCATAATTCCTATCTTCAGGGCACTGCATAAATATTAATTTTCACAATCCCTGTGTGGATAGTGAAAGGAAGTGTTGTCCCCGTTTTTCTGTTGGTAAAATTGAGATTGAGGCGAAAACACTTATCAAAGGCTACAGAAGGGATGAATGCTTGAAGGTAGGATTCGAATGTAGAAAGTCCTTGGTCCCTAGGGCATCATGCTAAACAGCCTCTTCAAAGTACAAAATAACTGCATTATAGGGAAGAAAGAGATAACTGATGAATAGCGTTGCTGTCTTTCCAAGTTCTAAAGCATAAAACTAGGCAATAAAATGTGTTACTTAGCTGTGGTTACCTGGAAATAGCAAACTAATTCTATTTTTAGAATAGCTTAGTCCGATGAACTTGTGTTTTTTATGTGCTTAGGACACCTTCCATGAAGAGCTGTTCATGTCCTTGATGATCTAGTTATGCAGTAACCAAGAACTTGAAATGTAGCAAAGGTCGGAAGACTCTTTCTGCTGTTTGCTCTCATAGTGCCAGGCTGTCTAATGGCAGCACTGTGGCAAACAGCATCACAGAATGTCTGAGGAGGGAAGTAATGTCTGCGCGTTGAAAAATCCACAGGGGAAAATCAGATTGCTCTCTAGGTGGCTTCTAGATTAACAGAAGGTATGTGTTGATCTCGAACAACTAACCCCTTTTATACCAGCGAAAAGGAAGATACAGGCAGAGTAAGTCTGAGCAGCCCTCCCCATGGAAAATATGTCTGCAGATTATGAGACTCTTGGAGGTGTAATAACTGTATTCATAAATATTTTTTCTTTTTTTTCAGCTTTTAGAGGATGATCCATGGCCACGACCGAACGCTTCTGAGTCTGTTCCTTCCCTCACCCATAGTAACATGATCTCAGAAAAATATTTAGAGCTGCCGAGCGAGATTGCCAAAAGCAACGTGTCTCCAGCAGGAGCAACCTTCAAGGATTCCAGCCCGCAGGAGGAGAAGGGCGGCAAGGCTTTGGCTTTGAGGCTACACGAATCCTACACTAACGGTTTGTCAGTTAGTTTCTCCCCTTCCAACTCCGCAAATTCAGGCACGGACCAAAAACCCTTCAAGGTGTCTCCTGGTGGCCAAACAAAAGCCCAAGACGCCGAGCGGACACCCACGGCAAACTTCAAAAGGACATGGGAAGAATCCAACTGCGGCCCGGCCGCCAAGAAGCCGCGGCGCAGCGTGGGCCGCAGCGCGAGCGCGCAGCCCGA